AACAACCAGTTTGAGGGCCCCTTCAAAACGAACCAATATCGCTGATATGTGTCAACAGCGCTCCGTGTTTGCTGCATTCCACCTGCGTCGCACAGTTGCTGAATCAAGCCTTGAAGATGTACCACTCTTTACGAGTTCTGCCCCTTTGTTCTCGCAGAGTTCCATACTGTGACTCTTGAGCGCTTCCCACCGATTTGTGATATGTCTTAGCCTGAATATGGACCAGAATCGGAAAGTATGAGTTTTGGTCGAGGTGTATGGACAAGCCAAATCGAGAAGGTGAGACGCCATCATTTCCACCCTCGCAGGCATGATGTGTCAGACGGACGAATCTGGCGCTTCGCGTTTCCAGGAGATGTCGCGCCGCGGCTAGCAAACTGCACTGTGACTCCAAATACCCGACCGTTGTTTAGGGTATGAGTTGTCAACCCCTTACTAACAAAATGAAGTGAATTTGCAACCGTACGGAAAACTTGTGTTTTTTTTCTTCTCCAGAATATGTCTCTGAAACAGCGGAGTAGACTGTGGGGCATCCAAGTTTCTTTCTGTGATACCATGGAAAGTTTAATCCTCCTAGTAGGTAGGATATCTTGAAACGTCGTCATGCCACTTTCTAATGTAGGATCACAAAAGGGGCTACTGTGTTTTGAGGGTCATGTTTTGAGGTTGCTCTTTTCGGAGTTTTCGGAGGGAAACCAAATGGAACCCACACACGGGCTTCATGAATCACTGTTTCACATGTCTTCGTATGTTATTGAATGGCTTTGCTTTATTCATGTCGATGGTGGGCTGCAACAACTATGGTTTGCTACCGCACCAGCGGTTGGGAAGCAACACATGTGTGCTATGCCATGGAGCATGGTGCCCATTGCGCGCTAGAGTCGAACACACTTTCTGAGTCCGGGACTCGAGTAGTCAAAATTATTGGTTGCTTAGTCTTTTCTTTGGAAGGGACGTGGGGGGACTCGCTAAGTTGCCCCACAGAAACCAAGGGGACGGAGATGCGGCTCAGGCTGGGATTTTACCGAATGGAGAAACACCAAGGCTGGTGGAGTTTCAAATGGGCGTCGGCGCAGTTGCAGCTCGGCAGAGCCCGAAAAACCTCCAGCCCCTGCGGTCAAAATGTGCGGGGTCCTTCCGGGGTGAGTTTTCAACCCCTAACCAAAAAGGTGGCAATGTTCAAACCTGGCTGGTTTTTGGGGGAGAGCAAGTGAGCAGGAAGTGGTTATCTATTTAAATGTCAGCGCGCGATTAGAAACCCTCCCCCGTCAAAGGTTTCGCCTTTTCCCGCCCAGATTCCCACCAGTACCAAAGTAAAGGGCCAACAAGGTTTGCCCAAAAAGCCCTACCCAATATGTGTTCGCGTCTCCTCAAAACACCCTCCTCATTAAAGGTATCCCCCTGCAGCCCCGAAGCCAAACAAACCTGCCAGAAAAGGGGTTTTCCTTTTTGCTTGTCATGTGCTTAGTCTGTCCTGAAGCCCGCCAATACTAAGAGTCACTACTGAACCCCTGCAGTTTCCCCAAAAATGTGCTTCCCCAAAAATCCCCAAAAATGATGCTTGTTTCCCCAAACAATCAAAAATGTGTTTCCCCAGAAATGTGTTTCTTTATTGTTTTTTGTTTAACATGACAAGGTGTTCAAGCTCGCAATGGAGACTCCCTTTGGAGGCCAGCCCCCCGCATGAAGAGAAAACCCCCCGCGAGGAATCAGAGCCCTTTTGGGCTCAAAACCGAAAGAACTTTAACAAAAGTAAGAGGACGAGGACCGAAGGGGCTCAATCAGGGGGGACCTCCAAAAATCTCAGTTTGGGGGACTTGTCCAAACCTGGTCGACCTTGAAGGGGGGAGGGAGGGGGGGAGGTTTACTGATCAGGGGTAACCATTACCACAAAACAATCAACAAACGAGCAAAGAGGAGGTATCCATGCACCGGCCAGACAATATACCAAGAAGCGGAGAGTGTGAGGGCCCTTGGTCCCAGAACCTTAGAGTTACGAGCTCAAAGCGAATCGACTTGAAGTCGCCAAGACGTTGTCTTGGTGTCCAGCCTATTTGACCGACATGTTGTTCTGTTTGTTTCTTCTTCTTTTTCTATTTATGTTGGAAACTCACTCCCTGAGTTCATGGACTGTAAACTTTGTGGAAAGACCACGTTAGTGGTCAATAAACAAATCGGACTTCTTTGGCCAATCCACTCTGGAAGTGAAAAAACGGGCTTGTTGTTTGTCAAGTTGCCAGAAGGTTCGTCAATGTTCTTATTGATGCCCGGACAACAGAGTCAGAAAATATTTTATTCTGTGTCCCCCATGGAACGATTAGTCAAGGGAATACCAAGTTGCACTGAATGGGCTTGGTTCACAGAATTCCACTGTCGTTGAGAGGCGCAATGAATATGACTGTGGCTCAATCAATGACTCGTTTCGCCTCCAGGTAAGTTTTAGGCCATTCACCGTCACTGGCAATGAGGCATTGGGGTTTCGCGAAGATTTGCACAAAGAGCTAAGCCACGCTATGGAGAACATCACCCGTGTTTGAAGCTTCACCCGACCGGCTCTCCTTGTTTTGGCTGTAACGTGTTTCTATGTTTGTGAGTGTGTTATTTATATTTTTGTTGTTTTTGTTTGATTGCTTGCCTTCTTACTTTATTGATGATTTGCTTTTGTTGTTTATTGCGTGTTTGCTTGTTTGCTTTCCGAGTTCATTGCTTCTTTGCTTGATTCATTTTGTTATCGCGTTCGTGCGCTATTGCATCATTCATGTTTGGTTTTCCTTCCTTCAATTATTTCTCTTGTTTTAATGTATTTCTGATTGTATTTCTAGCTGCCCATGTGTCCTTAATATGTTTCATGATGTTTTCGTTCTTCCTTCCTTCCTTCCTTCCTTCCTTCCTTCCTTCCTTCCTTCCTTCCTTCCTTCCTTCCTGCCTTCCTGCCTTCCTGCCTTCCTGCCTTCCTGCCTTCCTGCCTTCCTGCCTTCCTGCCTTCCTGCCTTCCTGCCTTCCTGCCTTCCTGCCTTCCTGCCTTCCTGCCTTCCTGCCTTCCTGCCTTCCTGCCTTCCTGCCTTCCTGCCTGCCTTCCGCCTTCCTGCCTGCCTTCCTGCCTTCCTGCCTTCCTGCCTTCCTGCCTTCCTGCCTTCCTGCCTTCCTGCCTTCCTGCCTTCCTGCCTTCCTGCCTTCCTGCCTTCCTTCCTTCCTTCCTTCCTTCCTTCCTTCCTTCCTTCCTTCCTTCCTTCCTTCCTTCCTTCCTTCCTTCCTTCCTTCCTTCCTTCCTTCCTGTGTTGCTTAATGTCTGTTGTTCTTTCCCTATTTGTCGTCTTTTTCTGTCTTTATGTCTGTTCTTGTCTTGATATCACTCTTCATTTCCTTCATTATGTCTTTGGTTTGTTTGTCTTTCATTCATTATTTGTGTTATTTCTTTCTTTCTTTCTTTCTTTATTTATTTATTTCTGTTTTTCTTTATTTCTTGCTTTCTGTCTTTCTTTATTTCTTGCTTTCTGTCTTTCTTTCTTGCGTTCTTTCTTTTCCTTTTTCTGTCCCGATTCCGTTCTTGCGCTGTCCTGATTTCTTGGGAGCTTATTTCCGTTTTGTGCAATTGCGACCGAGGTTGTTGGCTCTAAGTTTGTTCATTGTTGCTTGCTTCCCATACTTCTTGTGTTCCTGTTTTTTTTTTGCAGGCCTGATGTCTTGCATTTCTTGCATCTCTTGCTCTCCGGAATGAGCTTTCCTTTCTTTGCATAAACAATTCTACCTGAGCAATCAAGACCAAGTTGGAGACGAAAGGACTGCATGCCAGAAAGAAGTCTACAAAGCAAGAAGCATGCTTGTTGGGCTGACTGTATTTTTGCTGGGGGTTTGCGTTGGTATCCGAAAAAAGAGGGGAGTCATTCCAAGGCATTTCTGGCCGCTCGCGCAACGTCTTCTTCCCTGGTGCCTACTGTGAAGCGTGCAACACTCAGAGCGCGGATTGGATTTCCAGCCGACCCAACAGAACCCAAGGGTTTGAGTGAAGAATCAGCATGAATCAGCACATTGACATGTACCCAGAAAAAGGGGGATTTCAATTTCCTGCAACATCCGCAAAACAAATGTACCTGTGCGTGTGTGCTGCCCGTACCATCCTGTACCTATTGGGTATGCCAACTGATTGTTTCTCGGTTCATATCCTGAGCATCAAGTCCCAGAAGCCGCCGAGGAATCTTATCGGGGCCTTCCGGGGGCAAGTTTTGGCGTTTGGGGTGGAGGGTCCCTTAGTCCACAAGTTTTGGTGGAAAGCAAACCTGTAAATATGGGCCTCTTAAAACGTGTTGCGTTGAAACCAAGCAAACGCCTACCCTCGCAAGAAGCTTGCTCGAAGATTCCGTGTGTTGTATTCCATTCCTGCTTTGCAGGCACCGCAAGGCTCCAAAGGTTGTGTTGCATGTCCTTTGGATAAATCAGGTTGGATCTATTCTACCTTCCGCGTTCGCCAGCCGTTTTTAGCCTACTGGATGATTGCCCTGCCACAAGAGATGGCCGTTTTGCAGAAAGCATGGCGCTCAAGGTTTGATCTTCGGGGTCCCAGGGAGCAACCATGTTCCCGTGTCGCCTCGGTTGTTTGGAACAACTCTGGCGAATCCTAATGCCTAAGGCAGTCGCTCAGCAGATGCAAAGGGTTGCCAAAAGGGTTTAGCCCGCAGAAAGTACCGGGCAAACGTTTCAAAGTGGAGGGCGGGATGATGTGGGATGTCAACATGTTATATGGTCCAAATCCTCTGGGTGAATTATGACAACCTCACACGACCTCACCCGCAATGGCGGTTTATGTGGGAAATAGCCTCCCAAGCACCAGGCTGCGGATGGATCAAGTTCGATTGGGGGTCAGACAGCCAGAAGAAGGGCACCCGGTCGGTGCAAAGGGACTCCAAAGCAAGGACACAACGATTTGTCATGTCCCCCATTTCGACACATACCTAGCTGACGGTATCAGATCATGGGTAACTCATGACTGGGTTCCGTTGGAAGTCAACCAAAAGGGGACTCCATTGGATAAGTCAAGTTTGGATTCATGTTGGCCGATAAGGAACCTTCCATTTTCCTTTCACTGGGCAACTGACAGTGTTCTCCCCTGCAAACTAAGGAGAGCAGCGGTGAAAAAATGACTGGCTGTCTACGGTCCATTTGGAAGGGTCTCGGGGAACTCACTAGATGTTCGCCAAACCCAGGAGGCTCGCAGCGTTTCTCCAGTCCTTTAAGAGGGAAGTATTTGTAGCTTTGACCGCATGTTTTTTTTTGGGGAGGAGTTCAGATTATTTATAACGTCCCGGGAACGCCTCGCGCCTCGCGCGAAAGCGAGAGGTCTGGTACAACTCTTGGCCGCCGCGATGAAAGAGCGCAAGGCGAGGGATCGGAGTGGGCCGGCGCTTTGGATGTATGGGTCGAAGTTAAAGGGGGATATGGACCGAAGGTTTTGGTCCGTGTTCCCACTTACCAGGGCAACCCATTTGGGGTGCCTATTTTTGACCCACAGCCATGTTGCAGCTGAACTCTTGGGGTTCCGTGGAGCAGGGTTGTGGTTGATCACTCAGGGCTTGTCCAACCACTTCTGTGCAAGGGTAATTATCCCCCCTTTATACCGGGGGGGAGTCTTTGGGAAGGTGTTGGTGTATTATGGAAGTGGATTCAATATCCCACAGCCCTGTCCTTGAGGGTAAATGTGCGGCGTACGAACCGCCAAATCCAATCCAAATCGCAAAGTGAAGGCCGTGGATTTGACATCGGGGTGTGATACCAATAGTAGTGCAGTCATAGGGACTTGCCACTTTGGTATCACAAAGGTGATTGTCCAAACCATGGTTCTGTCCAGATTTCTCCTGAAATGACCTCTTCACGGATCTGTTCCTAATGCTGTTCTTCCCTGATATCTCTTTTGGAATTAAAAGGTTGCGTTGCGGGAAGTGTCGCTTTGTGCAAGATACGCCTCTCAAGCCTCGGCAATATCCATGTTAACAACCCAGGCCCTGCGAAAAAACATGCTGTTCAATGAAAGAGCAAGGGAAATCTTGGCCATGATGGCCCAGTTCCTTTTGTTGGACACGCCCAAGTAGATCTAGGTCCCCCGGCTAGGTGCCCTTTTCTCACCCCTTTTTTGGGGGAGGGGTCCCCTACTAAAATAGACTACAGGGAAAAGTTGGTAGCCTGATTCTAACCTCCAAATCTGGAGGACCTAGAGATCCTTCTAAGAATATCCAAGGGACCCTTGACATGCAGCCCGTGCCGTGCCAGGACAAGCCGCCCAAATGATGCGCTGCACCGGTTGCCGGACAAAACGGGGGGTCTGCACCTTGACTCACTTGCAAAGTGAATCGACCTGAAGTGCCCTTTGGGCCAACCCCGTTTCGGGTAAGGGTTTTGAATTGCGATCACTGGGGTTCAGATCCATTGTTTCGTTTCCTCCAGTCAATGCAGACCCCCTTTGCGGCTAGGTGTGGAGATTCGCGGCATGTAGCTAGGGTTGTTGAGAGGCGGACTTATGATGTCATTTCGGGCTCACACAGCCCAGTTTGACATCTTGCCAGCCCATCAGATATCAGGCAACCCTTGTGGTGATTGGTTTGGGGATTTGAACCTCTTCTTGTATGGGAAACCACTCCGGAACAATCCAAGCCAATCCAAGCCACAAGGGAAACTGATCGAATGTGTTGCATGATTTGGCGCAGGCCCATCGAAGATGGTCCCCATTTTCCAAGCGGAAGCCGCTGACTCGAGCAAAAAAAAAGGAAGCGCGCGAAGAACTCGCCATGAGATTTGGATCCTTTTTGCAGTGCCAATATGGGGGGTCATGGCCCTTCATGGCCGATGTTTGTCGTCAACGCCCGCTTCTTGCAATGCCTCCTATCGATCTGAATCGGGACATATTTTGGCTGCTGGGTTGGGCGTTATTGGTGTTGGCCTTGAACTTTGACAAGGCAGCTCGATGCTTTGACCAAGTCTCGATGAGTTTCCAAGACAACCTGGGCGCGTTTTGGGTTGAAAGGAAAGGGTGCATCAGCTACACACCTGACTCAAATCCGGTTTTATTTCGCACCTCGGGGGATTGCGGACATGTCGCGGACATGTTGGAACAGTGGGTTTTCTCACCTCCAAAGAAGCCCTCGAATGCTTTGTTTGGGGTCAGGGCCAGTGTTCACCAAGCCCAAATCTTCCTTTATGCCGAAAGCGATCAGAAGCCCTGGTTCACGGCCAGCCCGGAGACTCTCCGACTCCAAGTCCGAGACCTTGACCCTAGGGTTCCGAGCACCCTAAAATGGCCTTGGGACCCAAGTTGGATGACAATCTTCGAGCAGAAGTGGTTTGAGAACCTTGATAAAGGGGGTGGCGGCCGGCGTTTTATTTAAGAGTTGGACTCCTGCACTTGTTTCGGAGCAACTCCTGATGGGAAACCATCGGCCATCGGACTGTCAGGAGAGATCCAATAGCTTACTCCCCTGCAAATCAACACAGAACTCTCAAAACGGGCCCCCCCACAAGGAGACTGCAAAGAACAATCGCGCAATTGTTTTGTCGGTTTCCGGAGTTTCTTCCACCAAGGCGACCCTCGCATAGACTTCGCATGGACCGGTGGCGACGGTTTTTCGCGTGGCCAGGCACGGGGAACGGCCAGGCGAAGGTTCTCGCTAGCTGCCCAAAAGGGGCCCGGCCGGCCCGGTGTTTGTTTCTTTTTTTTCTCGCGGCGCGTCTTTTCTTTGTTTTTGCCCCTTTCCGGGGCTTAAAGGAAAAAGGAGCACCGCAGCAATTTTTGGTGGAGGCCCCGAAAAAAAAGTCCCAGGCAAACCCGGTTGTTTAGCTGGGTGGTTCTTTGGGGTTCAAACCCAGCAATCCGAAGCCAAGGGTTTCCTGACAATCTCAGAGATTCGATGGAAGCAGAGGATTTCCCGCTTCCCGCTGAGTCAGACTTGGCTTAATATATGGTGCCGAGGAATCCTCCAGTATGCCGGGCTCCTTATTCTCCCCTTCAAGCCTTACTTCGTGTGCCACATAGAACATCATACTCAGTTGTTCAGTGGCACCAATTCATTTTCCCCCTTGTTTTTGGTGGCTGCCCCACTAAGAATAGCCTTCCCCAAAAAGGGCTCCCTTTTTTTTCCAGGGTCACTGAACAACTGAGCATATAATCCTTATGCCGAATAAAGTGATTGCGCTGGTTGAAGTCCTGTCCCAGGAGTTAGGATCTCGCAATGAACAACCCAGACATGGGACACAGCAATCAAACCCTCAGTTGTTCAGTCGCACTTTCTTTGTTCTTTTCGGTGGCTGCCCCACTAAAAATGGTCTTCCCCAAAAAGAGCTCCCTTTTGTTCTTGGGTCACTGAACAACTGAGAACCTTATTCCCGGCAATTATTGGAGGCGTACTGGTAAGGCAGCGACGCCCGCGATGCTTGTCCGAACTAAGCTTTCATTGCACCAAGAATGCAATGGGCGTTTTGTCTGAACCAATCGGGTGGGATCCATATCCCTTCCCCCCCAACATAGCCCAACTTTTTTGTCAGGGATCCCCCAACCAAGAGGAAACTCAGCCACAATTGCTTCAGCAAGTTTCTTTTAGCATAAGAGGCAAAGAATGGCACCACACTGTTTGCCTGGAATAAAACTCGGAATTTGCCTCACAAATGGAGACATTCCCATGCCATCAAACAAAACTCGGATGTTGCCACAAAAATGTGGGAATTCCCATGCCATCAAACAAACTCGGAATTTGCCTCACAAATGGAGGACTTCCCCATGCCATCAAACAAAACTCGGATGTTGCCACACAAATGTGGGAATTCCCATGCCATCAAACAAACTCGGAATTTGCCTCACAAATGGAGGACTTCCCCATGCCATCAAACAAAACTCGGATGTTGCCACACAAATGTGAAAATTCCCATGCCATCAAACAAACTCTGATGTTGCCACACAAATGTGGGAATTCCCATGCCATCAAACAAACTCGGAATTTGCCTCACAAATGGAGGACTTCCCCATGCCATCAAACAAAACTCGGATGTTGCCACACAAATGAGGGAAGTCCCATGCCATCAAACAAACTCGGAATTTGCCTCACAAATGGAGGACTTCCCCATGCCATCAAACAAAACTCGGATGTTGCCACACAAATGAGGGAAGTCCCATGCCATCAAACAAACTCGCCATCCCATGCCATCAAACAAACTCGGAATTTGCCTCACAAATGGAGGACTTCCCCATGCCATCAAACAAAACTCGGATGTTGCCACACATAAATGTGGGAATTCCCATGCCATCAAACAAACTCGGATGTTGCCACACAAATGTGGGAATTCCCATGCCATCAAACCAGCTCGGATGTTGCCACACAAATGTGGGAATTCCCATGCCATCAAACAAACTCGGATGTTGCCACACAAATGTGGGAACTCCCCCATGCCATCAAACAAAACTCGGATGTTGCCACACAAATGTGGGAATTCCCGTGCCATCAAACAAACTCGGATGTTGCCACACAAATGGAGGACTTCCCCATGCCATCAAACAAAACTCGGATGTTGCCACACAAATGTGGGAATTCCCATGCCATCAAACAAACTCGGATGTTGCCACACAAATGTGGGAATTCCCATGCCATCAAACAAACTCGGATGTTGCCACACAAATGTGGGAATTCCCCATGCCATCAAACAAACTCGGATGTTGCCACACTAATGTGGGAATTCCCATGCCATCAAACAAACTCGGATGTTGCCACACAAATGAGGGAATTCCCATGCCATCCAACAAAACTCTGATGTTGCCACACAAATGTGGGAATTCCCATGCCATCAAACAAAACTCGGATGTTGCCACACTAATGTGGGAATTCTCATGCCATCAAACAAACTCGGATGTTGCCACACAAATGTGGGAATTCCCCATGCCATCAAACAAACTCTGATGTTGCCACACAAATGTGGGAATTCCCATGCCATCAAACAAACTCGGAATTTGCCACACAAATGGAGGACTTCCCCATGCCATCAAACAAAACTCGGATGTTGCCACACAAATGTGGGAATTTTGCATGCCATCAAACAAACTCGGATGTTGCCACACAAATGTGGGAATTCCCATGCCATCAAACAAACTCGGATGTTGCCACACAAATGTGGGAATTCCCCATGCCATCAAACAAACTCGGATGTTGCCACACTAATGTGGGAATTCCCATGCCATCAAACAAACTCGGATGTTGCCACACAAATGAGGGAATTCCCATGCCATCAAACAAACTCGGATGTTGCCATACAAATGTGGGAATTCCCCATGCATGCCATCAAACAATCTCGGATGTTGCCACACAAATGTGGGAGTTTTGCATGCCATCAATCAAAACTTGGATGTTGCCACACAAATCTGGGAATTGTGCATGCCATCAAGCAAAACTCGGATGTTGCCACACAAATGTGGGAATTTTGCATGCCATCAATCAAAACTCGGATGTTGCCACACAAATGTGGGAATTTTGCATGCCATCAAGCAAAACTCGGATGTTGCCACACAAATGTGGGAGTTTTGCATGCCATTAAGCAAAACTCGGATGTTGCCACACAAATGTGTGAATTTTGCATGCCATCAAGCAAAACTCGGATGTTGCCACACAAATGTGGGAATTTTGTATGCCATCAATCAAAACTCGCTTGTTGCCACACAAATGTGGGAATTTTGTATGCCATCAAGCAAAACTCGGATGTTGCCACACAAATGTGGGAATTTCTCTCCACCATTTTTGCGGGGTAGATATTTGCGTGTGCCGAATGGTGCTTCTGGGGTTCTCGCCTTTCTCGATGCCATGTGACAGGAGCTGCCTACCCGAAGGGCGAGCATGGAAGCAGTGGCAGGGGGCCCTACCCAATGTTGACCCCGGCTGAATAAACTCCTTTTATTAGGACTGTGGATGGACGTCCTGCACCACGTTGACACCATGGGAAACCTGTACTAGTTGGTATTTATAGAGGAATCATCAGAACCAGGGCTTCTTAGGTGGTGCAGAATTTCGTACATCCACAGTATGGGGGTGTTTTTTGTTCTGATGAATCCCCACTAAAGCCAGGGCACCCCTCATATTCATAGACAGGGGTTTATTAATCTTGGGGCAACGTTAGTCCATCTGCGTTCTCAAGCAAAATAGATACGGGGCCTACCCAACTGAAGCAACTCTAAGTTGGACTCCCAAGGTACATTTTGAAAAGCCTGGTTTTCTTCCATGGTAGATACCTACTTCAGGGGTTGACTTCATATCCTGAAAAAGCAGGCATGGTCGAAGCGGCGATGTCCTCTTTTTGCGGTTTTAAACATCACCTTTGATACCTTTGTGAGCCTATAAGTGCGAGTTCTCTTTGGGTGGTGTTTAAAGAGGAAGACTGGTGGAAGCCCAAGAGCCCTGAACTTCCATTTGCTGAATGTCTGATTTGTTGGCTTCCCCGCAGCTAGCTTGAAAGCGAGCAATCATGACTGGTAGAAATGTTTGTTTTTGTGCGCATCCCCCACCGAATTCTGATGTCCGCGAAAGGGTCCCCAGTTAAACATCAATCCTTGAACTGGAAGGTCTCTTCCCGGTGCCTTGCCGAATTTCAATGTGTGGGTCCTGATTTTGAGACAGGCCCATACTCCCCCTTTTTGGTGGCGTGTACGGAAGTGCATCAAAAACAGTTTCCTTGTGGTGGGGCTTATGTTTTGTTGGGGAAGTGTACCCCCTACTCCCAAGAACCACTTTTTATTGTATGACATCAAGTGATATCAGCCCCTAGCCACTTGCCCTGAAAAAGCAAGGTTCTTCAATGCCCATTAAAGGTGGGTATTCGGAGTATTCGGAGTGGGTTCTTTCCAGCTCCGTTCGGCCTCCAGTCTGGAATCAAGTTTTTGGCGCTGTTTCCTGGCAACTCCGGGTGAAAGGTGGGCAGATGCTGTCTGGCTCGGACGAAGCGGCCGTTTTGGACCACGGGCTTTTCCCTGCCAGCCTGTGTCCGAGGCGAGGCAAAGAGAAGCTGAGGCGCGTGAAATATCAAAGGTCCCAAGGCCATTGTGGTAAAAAACGACTTGTTTTTGCAATCTCAAGTGAGGTACCTCATTCGGGTGTGTTTGAGGAGCCCCTTAAGGCCTTGAGGGGATAGGGTGGGGATGGCAAAAGCAGGGGGCTGGGGGGTGAAGGGTGATTGTTGGGGGTTTCGGTTCAGTAGTTTTTCTTCAACAATTCAACCACTTTGTTCGTTTTCAATATTATTGGTTAAATTCTGGTGAAGACCCCAGAAACCAAGTTGCCGCCTTTTTTGTGACTGCTCCCCCCTCGAGATTGCTAAAACTCTCCCTGAAGGGCATGCAAAGCTTTTGGGTTGGAGCTTATGTCTCGGTTTTGTGTTTGATTCCCCTCTGAATTTCCCCTTTCTGAGGTTTGTTGTATTACATCCTGGGATTACACCCTTGAGAAATGACCCAGAATGGCTCAAAATAACACGGTTTTATCCGGACATGTGCCTAATTGGGGTCAATACCCAGTGGGTGTATTTCAGGGTGTGATACAGAAACCCTTTCCAAGTGCCCAAAAATATGCTCAGGCGTGCAGCGTCGGAGCATCTAAGATGTCGGATGGGCCCAACCTCGAGCCGCCCAAACACCCAAACACGGAGGCTCTCGCTCGAGCGGAAGCGGAAGCGGACTTCGTGGCTCGGCGGAAAAACATGACGCGGGTCCTTTTACTTTTCCCAATGATGTGGGTGTTTCGGAACAAGGTGGAACCATGTGTTTGATAGTTAGATAGTTGTTTGTTGGAAACCAAGAGGGACACTACTTCAAGGGGTCACCTATTTGGGTCAAGATGATTAAGAGGTTGTGGGGTATGCCAAAACACAAAATTGGTCATAGGAGCCAACTATATATATATATAGGTAGCACCATTAGCAACACACGCAATGGTCGTACACACACCAAGGGGACATGAGGGGCTCCTGGAATGGTGTCAGGAGGCAAAGCCAGGTTCACTTTCGCTTTGTTTTTCCGCTTTGTTGGGCATCATTTCATGGCTGAAAGGCAGTCAGGTCAATTGGCTTCCGAAGTATCTCTTGGAGGCTCACTGCAGACGGAACCTTGGGGCTGTTTCCCCTGTCAGCACGTGTGTGTGTGTGTGTGTGTTTATTGTTTGTTTTTTTCTTTTTTTCTTTTTTTTTTTTCACGTCATTGTTTCTGGTATGGATGTTGTTTCGTGCGTGAAGCGATTGCCGTCAGCACACAACTTCTGTGCCCGAAAACGTGCCGTCCGATTGCGATTTCGTTGCTCGAAACTGTTTTACTCGACTGGGTCCCCCGTAGTGCTCTTTTGCCCTTTTTTGGGGGAGGGTTCCCCTACTAAAATAGACTACAGAAAAAACGGGTACCCTGATTCTCTCCTCTCTACTGGAGGACCTAGTTCAGGTAGGGATTGTCATGGACCCCACTTGTAAGGGGGTCAGACAACCGTCGTAGAGGTTCTTATCAAGAAACCATGAGCAGGACCCACATGTTTGGGGAGTTTGGTTGGCCATGGGACGCATCTGTTCGAAATGAAGAACCGCTTCAAGTGGTGGATCTCCGCATGTTCTTTAAGCTTATACAACCGCGGGTCCATTTGTTTGGGACGCCAACCTGCATGTTGATCTACATCTATAGATGTACATATAGCTGTTTGTTGTTCTACATGCCTGCCTGCCTGCCTGCCTGCCTGCCTGCCTGCCTGCCTGCCTGCCTGCCTGCCCGCCTGTCTATATTCATCTGCTTCAATCTCCATCTAACCTCCAATCCAAGCTATTTGCTTGGCTATCGATGTGAAGCTAGGGAGCTGAACTTGCCAAAGTGCTTTTGGTGTCACGGCTAGTTAGAAAGGATATTTTGCACTGGTTTAGATGGGCTTGATTTCAAGTACCAACAAAAACCATCCATTTTTGGAAAAGAACATGGCTGCTTGTCCAAGTGGATTTGCCAAAGGGTTGCGCTTTTCTATCGATGTGAAACTACTGTGGATGGACAAACTCCATTCGCACCACTTTGAAACCCTGGTTGAAACCATTGTTGGCATTTGCAGAGTCTCATTGCGCCCAAGTCGTGGGAATTTGCGCTCGAGTTGCGGGTTCTTCTTTTCTCTCGAGCACTTCACGAAAACAGCTATCATTCCGTTGGATTGCTTAAGTGGTGTGAAGCCGAATTGGGCATGGGTCAAAATTAAACCTTCAGGGGACCGCAGATTTCAGTCCATGTTTCCATTTACCAGGGTTCCATTTTGGGTACATATTTTTGACCCACAGCCATTTCCTCCAACAGGGCAGAGGGCGGCCTCTGCTTTGGCATAGGCGCGGAAGGCGGCGGCGCGGCGCGCCGCCGCCTCGCGCCGGGCGATGCGCTGGGCGCAGCTGCAGGAGAGGGGGGAAGGAGAAGCGTCGCTGGTGGCAAGTTGTTAGGTTTGGGGGATTCCCCTTTTTTTCCAGGGTCACTGAACAACTGTGGTTCTGTGCATTTAATATAGTAGGGGCTGCAAGTTAAGAGTGGACTGGATCTTGCCTGAGGGGGCTGCAACAAAGGGTAGTAATCTGTAAAGAACCATATTGAGCTAGAGCTATTTGCTACTAAATTAATGGTTGGGTGGGAACACCTCGTTCTCCAATTCTGCGCCCGTTTGGACTCAGTGACCTCGTTTTCCAACAATGCATGTTTTTGTGATTTCAACCGCTTATATCTGTCATGGCCCTACCTTGTTTTGGGGGTGTTCTTACCTCGCTTTGCACCTAATGCAGTATGTTAGCCAAAACACGTGTCCGTAGAGAAAGGCAGTCGCTCATATGGGCGTGTCTTGTTTTAGGAATCGGACCCCCCAAAATGGCTTCGAGATTCCTTGTTGTTCGCCTTAAAATCGCAACAAGGGAGTACCACAAAAACGGACACACCCATAGGAATCGCCCCCCATTCAATACCAACTAGGGTGGGTCTATGATTTTTGAGAAACTATGATCACACATGAGACACATTTGGCCAACGTGTGCAATCTAAGGATATCCTTGACATGTTCATTCCTTTTTGACCAGGGTTGGGCAATATGCCCTTGAAAACTGTGATTAATGTGATTGTAGAAACCAGGAACATTTCCTGGCTGGTAATCACATCAAGAAGATTCATGTCACCCTGGTCGCTTCTGAAGTATAACGCCCGACCACGCCGAATCTGCACGGTTGACTGCCACGCTTCAGCAGCAGGCGGCAGAGAGTAATTAAGGGTTCCTGGTAAGGGAACACACCCACAGATCGGGAGTGTTGCCATAGCACACACCTGCGTGACCAAGGTACCCTTTGGAAGTTGCCCAGAGTTCGCCCGACACCTCCGCTTCCTACTGGGGCCAGCAATTTCGAGCTGCAGCTGTCTGTCAGGGCGCAGTCAACGCGTGAGCGTTTGAGCCAACACCGGAAGGGGCCTCCACGAAAGACACTCCAGGCTATGAATTACAGCGGGTACCACTTCCAAAGTGGCTGGTGGGCATGAATCCCCGCCGAAGTCTGATGTCCGCCAAAGAGCCCCCAAAAGATGTTTCCCCAATAAGCAGACACGTTTCTTGGGAAATTAAAGGCTGGGGTTCGGGTTTCCGATTGGCAAGGAGGAGGAGCTGGAGATCCTCGCGCACCTTCGCCGCGAGGAGCACAAGCCCTCAAACCTTCGGTGCGCTAGGGGGAAGAACGAGGGTTTTTTGGCGAGTACGCAGCTCCAGTACCTCCTTAGGTACCCAGGACCCTCTGGATGTGTTTGGTTGACCGTTAGGCTTCAACTTTTGGGAATGTGGTTCCCCACACAGCAGAAAGTGTTGCACGTAGAATAGCTTGTCCTACCCACAACACCCCAATCCGATCCCAGTTTTGGATTTCTTGGCTTGCCAGAGGGGTGTTTTTGTTTTTTTCCTGGGGGGGATATTTCAAGGGTGTGAGTTGTGCAGGAAAATTGACAAAATGACCCACATGGAAGCAACGGAAAGAACCCAACAAGGGCATTCCCACTGAGAATCGTGTTGTGGGGAGTGCCAAGTCAATCTGTAGTAGGGTAGCATGTTATTCCCTTTGCCCGGGTACGAGGGAATATTAGTCGCCTACTCGTGGCGAGCTTACCGCTTTGTAAGAAATTACAGATATTGTGGCCTGTGGTCTTCCCACCGTTTTTCATTACTTTCTTCAACTGCTGACTAGTAGTCTTACCCCGCCCTGCTCAGACTTGTGGGTTTTCCCCCGTGCTGAGCTTCGCGTCTTGGATTGGTGAGATGATCGCATTGGTGCTTTGTTTGTCTGTGAGGGTGCCGCCGGCGTCCAGAAAAAGCAATACGTTTTCCGAAAAAGGAGCTGCGAACGCGAATGTGATGTCCAGTTGTTTGGGGTGAACGGTTACATGTGGCTGGCCCCCTTCTTCTTCTGCACGAAAAGCTTTCAACTGAAACGGGGTTCGCTGAACCTACAAGAGCTGATCACTCTTGGGCTCTGCAACACAATGCATTTGAACTAAACAGTAGCAAATATGTCTTCTTCCCAACATGAAAGCAAAAGGGGATGAGGATTTTTCAACCTCCCATGTAATACCTAGAAAGACTCAATATGTTCGGCCTCTTGAATTGTCCTTTCAGCGGCTCGCATGGGTCCTCCATTTCAAGCCACAGAACCCTTGGATGTTCAACCCAGTTGATAAGTATATAGCTTACAATCGCGGGTCCGCATATAACTATGGTTCATATTGTAGCTACAAGAAGGGTGAGTCAGATTTATCCAGAAAGCGGGCGCAGCATACTTTTGCAGGCGAGTGATTCTCCCAATCGGAATTGGGCTTACACAAATGCTAGGTGTCCTGTTAAACAGCCTCGTGTTCCCAGACTTTGCCCACCGCAAGTGCGTTTCAGGTACGCGAAGAGCGCGAGCCGACGCGTGGAGGGCGAGCGTGCACGTCGAGAGGAGTGGTCGCAGACCTGTGGGGGTTCTCCTTTGTTCTTTTTCGAGGGACCCTGTGGGATTCAAACCATTGAAACAATGGTGGAGTTAATGTAACCACCATTGTTTGATCAAGGAGATTCATCATTGAACCAAGCTTTGTCATCCTAAATTTGGCCAGCCGTTCTTTCAATGGGGGGATGAACCCTAGAAGACCCCTTCAATGCCTTCTTTCCCTTTCCTTTGGAGGGGGCAACCCCCTGAAAAGAATAACATCCAGACAAAAGGTGGCCATTTTCCCATCAGATCTTGGCTCCGGTTTTCCGAGCGGCTTCGCTGTAGACTGGACGTGTGTTGAGTTCCCCAGTTTGTTTTGTTTGAGCTCCGCTTCCGAGCAGCTAGGCTGCTTCTCGGAAATGCCAGGGCTGTTGGAATACCTGGGCTTGTGTTATTGGATTTAGAACAGCAACCAACAATGGAGGGACTGGCTCCTCCAAACTTGCATCCATTTTGCAGCCATCATTGCGGCCATTTGAGCCCAGCAAGGGGAAGCTATCAAATACATATGTTATATGTTCCTCGTTGGTGTTCAAGGGAGTCGATTTCACTACTGGACATATTTTATCCAGGGGGCGAAAAGCAATTAGCATACCACACACCTATTGGGTGGGCACTTGCCAGCGCAGTACGTGAGGAAGTGGCGAGAGATGTACTGGCCACTCTCCATGCTGCGCGCTTAACGTCGTGCAGCGAATCAGCCGGTTCAGGTCCCTTAAAGTGGTTCCATGTCGAGATTCTTTTGAAATTACTGTCAGGGCAGTTCCCTTTGAACTACCAGTGAGCTCTACCGCTCTTGGGTTGGATCTTTAGACTTTCACTTTTTGGATTTCTTCATATTTCAGCAACAAGTTAAACAATTTGCTGGGGGATCTGCAGCTGGCCTTTTTCTTGGTCACTTTAGTGGACCCAGCCAACCTGAAGAGGTGTGTGAAACTGTTCCGATGGCATAGTTCTATCTTTATAGGAGCCAATGTCCCACCCTCCTCCGATCAAAGAGGCCTCAAGGTCTTACGTCGGGGCAACGAGGGGGATTCCATCCTATGATACTTGTCATAGAAGCCACAGTGATCCCGCCAAAAGAACACCTATGCGAGTCTTGGGTTGTGGCTGAGTCGGATCCGTTAGCTACGAGCTTTGCACACTCAGGCCGAGCAAGCTGCACGAAGAGAGGCGCGTGGTGAATGATTCTGCTCGCATCCAGTGCTAAAGGAGGACACATTTCCAATACCGCACCCGACTTGAGCCTCATGTTGAAACCTAAACCTCGCCGATGTCGGCCAATTTCGGCCGAAACAGGGGCGCAACTTCGAGTTTAAGTAGACTTTGCCTGGTCGGTTGCAGGGTTTTGCGTTGCTTTGGTCCGTTGGTATTGGGTTTGGCTTCTCTTGATTTTCGACATGCTCGAGCTGTCGATCTCACCCTACAGGGTGTCAAAGTAGAGTGGCCCAATCAATGGCCTCTTCGATTTCCCCGTTGGGTGTCCCTTCGAACCAACCTCACCATGTTATCCACGACAACCACCATAGCTCATACGTTTTGTCAAGGCAGTTGCCCGCTGATATTCATAACCTACGAAGTCGGTTGGACATCCAGATGGACAACGCCACTGGATTCGCCCCAAACCCAAGCTCCATGTCGCTTTCGATCTGGGTGTTTGTTCAGAAGAGGTCTCAGGGCCTTGGGTCTATTCTTTAAAAACCGCAGACCGGAAGAAACGGTGAAACAGGAAATTAACACATGCATAGAAAAGGGGTGCTAAACCCCTCGAACCGTGTGGTTTTCACTTTTGGCTTCCCTTAAACGCATCCCGCATGGGTGCCTTTACTCCCGCATCCCACACAAGATATCTCACAATCTAGACTTCCCCGTCCATCGACTCGTTTTGCCTCGCTTTTTCTATATTGATTTTTCTTTTCCCCGAACTCCAAGTGCTGGTTAGCAACTGTGTAAACCCGCTTTTCCGCTGCGAATGCCTCCTTCATCAGTCAGTCAGTTGCACACCTCAAAGAAGGTGGATATTTGACGCAGGTATTTGGCAGGTGCACAACTCAATTACCTATAGACGTACTTCTTAAAATTTGACAATTCCAGTGGCAAGCGCAAAGGCTGTTGGCTGTGAAGCCCCTGGAACAATTTCTTAGTTGGAGCTCTTATTTTCCGATAGTGGAGCACTGTCGGGGCCTCAATAATTAGACAGGGCTTGGGTACGTCAAAGCCACACACAGATTTTGTCATGAATAGAGGCAACGACTCTGGGGCAAAATCCACAAAACGCCACCATGGGTGGGTGGTTTATCAACCATTCATGAGGTTTTATGCACCTTCCCCGAAGGCGGCGCTTCAGAAGGGCCAAGAGCTGCAGAGCAGATGCCAGGACTGGGTGCCTTTTTGTGTTTTTTTTCACCGGTGTCCATTCGGTGACACTTAAGGGAGGCTCAATTGAAATGTGACGAACTTCGGTGATGTTTGAATCACCCGAAGGGCCATACGAGGGAGCCTAGGGACGTCTGATGGATTTTAACATTTGACCCCCGTCCCGAAAAGAAATCTTCGTATGCCGAAAGAAATCGAAGCTTCACGCGTGTGACCCTCAAAAGCACCTGGAGCATGGATCGACCGAAGACGTTTGGTTCAGTCATCTTGGTGCCATCGACCTTCACCCTGGTTGGTAGAATAAACTCTGACATTGAAGTAATGAACCATGCCCATCGAAGCAATGTACGCACGTCAGGGGGGCCCTTTGGTAGGAGATGCTTCGGGGGCAAGAATGTATGTTCAGGACCTCAGCAAGTAAACTTTGTTTGGACAAATTCCAGGTGTTTTTGTTGGAGGAAGTTTTCTTGCACGGGCCCTATCACCTTAGGCCAGATCTCCAGAGAATGTGGAATTTGTTTGGTACTTCGAAGCTTTTTGGTGCCAATTCGCCTCCTTGTGAAATCCACAAGCTCCGGGGGCTGTCTCTACTGCTATTCGGTTGGATCTTTAGACTTTAACTTTTTGGAATACCCTCATACTTCCTTTCAACCAGCAAACAGTTAACTTTTTGCTGGGGGATCTACAGCACCCAAGCTTTCCCAGGAGTCCAACTTCTCCCACTGCAAGGCGGTGGTAGTCAGTCGCCGCCTCCGCAAGCGATCCGAGCCGCGCGAGCCTCGGATTCCTCCCCCAGATCCTCGGAAGCCCTTGGGGTGGTTGATCAAACGTTCCCTTAAAGGACCCCCAGCTTTGACCATGGGATTTTTTCGCCTCCTTTTTAGCGAATTCAAAGTGGCCAATTCTGGAAATTCATCGAGAGTATAGGGAAAGAACCGGGTTCCGAAAGGAAATCACCCGAGAACCAGCAAGAACGGCGCGCCAGAAAGCAACCAGATTTCTGTCTTAAAAACGAGTTCATCATGGTCCTTTGCTTGGGGCTCCAATTCTCAGGGTATTCCACAGATGTGCCGAGCGCGGCGTTTCAAGCGAGGTGATAGCCAACGTTTGTGCGATGATACACTTTGCCGCTTGAACAATTTCTCCCGCGCCCGCGCCCGCCTATTTGGGGGGGGGGGGGGGAGTTTGTGTATTGGCGTTGTTTCCCTGAAAGGAATTCCCCCCCCCCAAAAAAAAATAGTAAAAGGGATTTGAAGGAACTGAAAATCATTTTACTATTTTTTTCTAACAAGCAATGAAAAAACACATTGAAAAACCAAGTATCAAATAATAGATAAGGTTAATAAGTCACAACCTTATTCATTCTAAGTAATTCCTAGAAAGATGCACACCTTATTCATTATTTTTTCACTACTTAACCTATTTCATTTTACTATTTGTTTACCCTTATTCATTTTGTGTTTTAAGTCTTTTTCCAATTCTCAGAAACTCCAGTTATTCTTCATTTTTTCTTTTTACCTTATTCATTGTTCGCGAATTTTTCACTCAGACTTAAAAATATGACTAAAACACATTTCACCTAATAGTTCCACAAAACCAAACAGCCTAAGCACACAAGAAAACTAAGAAAAAAAATATTTCAATCTTTACAAACCATAAGTTCAATATAATTATAACATATAAGATTTTACATGTTATTATTATAGTATGATTATAATTTCAGTACAGGATAATAATTTAATTGACAAATCTTACTTCTTTCATACATCATTTTAAAAATAATATTAATATCTCTCAATGTATTTTGAATATTAAACTTTTTACTTTCAATAAATAATTTGATATTTTCTTTAACATCTTCTCCTTCCTTTTGACGATAAACCAACATCCATAATATGCAGTCTATCATTTCATACTTTTTCTCACTGATTTTCAGAAATGCTCTAACATAACTATAAGGTGGTATTTTATACACAGTTAGAAATATTAAGATGTCATCTTCTACATTTCTTTCATTAAACATTTTACTATCTAAATGATTTTCAATTATTTGTTGATGAAACCTCCAATTTCTACAAATTTTACATAAATCTTCTTTACCCAAAGCATAATAAATAATATTATTCACTGTTTCATTAGGTAAATTCAATTTATACAATTCCATATTTTCTTTTTTGAAGTGACAACAATCATAGCATTTTTTATTGATATAATTATTGAGTTTATCACCGTTCATTTCTATCTTAATATATCAAGTCAATATTTCTTTAAGTCGTTTTCAAAGAATTTGTTTTATAATGGCCGTAAGCAAGTGAGTTTACACTATCTATCCAATATTTGTTGTTTTCATAACTACTAAGAGCAATTTTTTTAGTTGCCATACTAAAAATTATGTGGTTTTTACTTCTAATACTATTAAATGACTTATGTATAACCTTATTAGTTTTTAAAACCGTCTCAAACTCTTCATATTTCATTTGACGTCTTACTGTGCCTTTTGCTATGCCCTTACATTTCTTATATTCTTTTTCATCACCATAAACTGAGTAAGCGTAGCATTTAGGACGAAGGGCTATAAACCCTGTTATTATTTTGCTTTTTGATTCATCCTTAAATTTACCTAATACTTTCTTGTTATTCTCATCATAACATTTATGTTCCTTAGGATAATCTGAAAAATATATTTCTTTTTTAATTGTATTCAGGTCTTCATAAATATCATTGGTTTTAGTATGAAATACAAAACTGTCAGTATCAGTATATACCATTTTAATATTATCTCCATATTTAGGTTTCATAACGTCATAATAAAATTTATACATGTGTTGCTTACTCAAATATTAAATACTCATCCCAATAAATATAGGTGTGTCTAGTTTCAACTTTGTATATTGCTTTTCAACTCCAACCAAATTCTCGTTAATGATATGACTATGTTTGAAGTTAGGATTACTTACACACTTCATATATCTAGTTTCATCACTCACAACTTCAAAGTCTAAATGTTTTCGCTTATCCTCCATTGTTTTTCCAAATATGGCATTGTTCATCAATTTATAAACATCTTTCTCAAAATCATGTCTAGCATTCTTCCTCTTCTCAGTGTTAAACTCAATGTACGGTTTTAAAACTTCTTTTTGTTCAAATTTAATTGCTCTATGAATTTTCTTAAGTTTTAACCCTTGCTTCAAATAAAATTGTAAGGTTCTTATATGGATTACATATTTTTCTTTATCATTTAAATTCAATACTAATTTATTTGTTTTCTCATCCGTAGGTTTTTTATGATTTAAAAATTCATAAATTTCAATTTGTTTATCTGACAGCATGTTGGCTTTAACATTCATAACCTCAGGTGCCATTGGATAGTCATTGTGTAAATCGTGTAATTCTTTAGGATATTCTAAATCCACTTCTAGAATATATCCAATATTATTATTCTTATAATTAATTATGTCTTCTTCTTTTAATGTATCATCCCATTTTAGATTTTTATATGGCAGTTTTTGTATCATGCTTAACCCATACAAATTATTAGCGTCTAAATAGTTAATATAACTACTTTCTTTCTTTTTATCATAATCTTCTCCCATGTATTTATTATTTGCTTCAACCTTTTTAGTAGAAACCATACACATCCCTCCTCTAAGTCCCGCTTCTATCATTTCATACATTTCTTGGTCATATATTAAATCAATCTCTACACCAGTCATTTTAAGCATAGCATCAAAAGCAAAGTTAGGCAATGTATAATAATAAGCAGGGTCCAATCCATAATATTTCATACATACATCTCTAAAATTTTCAAAAATGTCGGTCAATAATAATACATCAGTTTTCAAATATAAATCATGGTATTCACCCATATTCTTAATGTCGAAATGCTTCCATATAATTTTTGCCCTTTCATAGTCGTTAACACTTATACCTTCTTCACTCAACTGACTATAAAAATCATCCTTACTCGGTAATTGCTCATCATCAAATTTATCAAATGAATTCATGTAGTCATAAGGATAAACGCCTTTATCAGTTAATAAATCTAGACATTTCTCACTCTTAATCACATCATTTTTACTACTGAACCTAAAATTATCTTTCCAGTTTTCACGCAATAACCATTTACTTTTATCTTCTTCATCTGTATTATCATACTTACTCATTGAAACTAACTTATCTAATGAAGCAGTTAAAAACCCAAAAGTGTCTTTAACACTCAAACTTTCAAAACTGATATTAATAAATTTTTCACTGTTCTGAGCGATGACACCTATTTTACTGTTGTTACTTAATTTATCAGCATTTTGAATAATTAAATGACCGTCATAATTTTTCATGTTATGGAAGAATACAGGAATTTTAAAATATCTATTACAAAAATTAAGATTGCAAACATTATGAGCACAACCTCTATACTTACCTGTAAAATGACAATGGTCTCTAACCTTTCTATATTTCTCCGCTTCCTTAGCATTCTTGTAGTTCATTCTAAACTTCTCCCCACAAATAAAGCATTTTTTAGCATGTTTAAAATCTTCTTTGTCTTCATCGGTCATGTCTATTTTTTCGTTTTCTCCCATCTTCTCCTTTACTTCTGCCCTAATCTCATTAAGTTTTTGACAAAACACATCAACAGCATCTTTACCACGATACATAAATTCATAATTTGTATTATCAACAGCATTAACCATATTAAGCATAAAACCACATGGTTTATGCTCTTGATAAGAAAAAGTGTTTTTATCTTCATCTTCATCAGGTTTTTTCAGTTCCTCTGTCAAACATTCAAAATCAGCATATACAACAAAAGGACATCTTAACTTTTTGAAGTGATGCTTAAAACTAACTTTCTCATAAGGCTTAGGCATTACTATCTGCTGTCCGTCAACTTCCATACATCCACTATCATAATGTTTATTTAATAATTCTTCATTTCCAAATCCATGATTACAATATTTACAAAAATAGGACTTACCATGATGATTACTTTTTTGATTATTAATAAGTCTGCTCAAACTTTTTATATAGGTATAATGACTGAAATCCTCATCATCAACTCTTAACAAATCAAAATGAAAAGAAGCATCTTTATTTTTCAATTTTCTACTAATAACAATTTGTTCATTATCATCAATTTCATAAACATTAACGGATATTGATTTATTATTTTCTTCAAATATATCTATATCATTATTATTAGCAGGAAAACTCACACCATCAAAAATCAAATCACTTTCTATCTTCTTGTAGTGAAACATCTTTTCAGGGTGTGCTTTATCACAAATTTTACAATATCCACACTCAATAGAATATTTAAAACACTTGTCATCTTGATTTTTAATATTGATACATGCCTTTTTCTTTTTAATCCATTCTGGAAGTTCGATATATTTACCTGCTCTAGTCGGATTATATTTATTATACATGATATGAATATTATTAATATTGCTAATTATTAATCCTGACTGATACAAAGCCATATCTAAAATTCTTGTTTCAACATCAGGCCTCATTCTTTTCAAAGCATTCCTTAAATCCTCTTCATTTACAATAGTGTACGACCTTGACTTAACTGTTACGTTTCTCTCCTCATCAAATAAGTTCATAACTTTCATATTTATTGTAGCATTCAGTTTCATTCCTCTATTCTCTGTCAAGTATTCATTAAGTTTGTCAAATTGATAATTAAAATAAGTCAATCCGTTCAACTCTTTTAAATGAATGTTTGAAATTGTGTAGGCGTTGGCATATGCTCTAAAGGCGCTTCTTT